AAGTGGCACTGTGGCTCAAGTGGTAAAGCGTTAGCCTTGAGCTGAAGAGCTGAGGGACAGCGCCCAGGCCCAGAGTTCAAGCCCCACTACCAGACCCCCCCCCAAAAAAAAATCTAGAAGTAGAGCTGTGGCTCAAGTGGTAAAGCGTTAGCCTTGAGCAAAAGAAGCTCAGGGACAGTGCCCAGGCCCTGAGTTCAAGCCCCAGGACTGGCAAAAAAACACTCCCCCTCTCTTGCCCCCCTCAAAAAAGCAAACCCAGATATTCAGTCTACTTATGGTACATCTCTTAAGTATACTTAGAGCTAACCAAATACAGTTTCAACAATCAAACTTATAATGCCTGAACTGAAATCAGGTACTTATAATAGCGCATCACCCAAATTGAAGTGCTTTTAATATACAACACACAGATTTTAAAGTTTCGATTAAAAAAAAAAGGACAAAAATATCTCCTGAATACATTTCACATGGAGTAGATGCTAAATTGAAAATAGGCTGGCTACACTGGGTTTTAAGTAGAGCATATTATTAACACGGACTTCCTGGTCCTTTTAACTTAAAAAACATTGCAGCTACTATTGAAATTAAAATATTATCTAGGCACAGCACATTATATCTGTGTGCGAAAAAAAGCATAATGAAACCCATTAAAACCTGTTAAAAAATTCAGTAAGGGATAAAGAGCAATTAATAAAGATGGAGTGAATTTGATCAAATGACTATATATATATATATACTGCCTGGGGCTTGAACTTAGCACTGTCCTTGAGCTAGGTTTGCTCAAGGCTAGCACTCTATCACTTGTGCCACAGCGCCACTTCTGGATTTTTCTGTGTAGGTGGTGCTGAGGAATCGAACCCAGGGCCTCATGCATGCAAGGCAAGCACTCTACCACTGAGCCACCTTCCCAGCCCTCAAATGATTTTATATGCATGTATGAACAGCATGAGAAGATGAGGGACTCGAGTATTATTTTGTGAGTGTAAATGTAGCATCTTGGCACTCAGGATCAAATGATATAGACAATTTTAGGCATCGGTGACATTCTGCCCAATATGAAAAAGAAAGCTATAACGCTAAAAAAAAATAAGATCATAGCAATGTCACTGCAAATAATACATAGAAAAGTTATAGTAATATAGTTGTGTGTGTGTATGTGTGTGCATACATGTGCTAGTGCTGGAGTTTGAACTCAGAACCTTGTACTTGCTTAGTTTTTTGACTCAAGCCTGGTGTTCTACCACTTGAGCCACACCGTTACTTCTAGCTTGTTTGCTGGTTGATCAGAGATAAGAGTCTCACAGATGTATCTATCTGGGCTGACTGTAAAATAGAATCCTCCTGTCTCAGTCTCCTGAGTAGCTAGGATTATCGACGTGAGCCAAAAGTGCCTGACTGGTTGCATTGGAAATATTAGGGCAAGATTCCTGTTCTTCTCTGTCTTGTAGTCTTAGTTTTTTTTTTTTTTTTCCATACAAATAAAGCATGAAGCCAGGCACCCGGGGCCTCATTGTTTTTTGGTGGGGGCGGGGGGAAGAATATGAGAAAACTGAAGATAGAGCTGGGTGAAACCACTTGTCCAAATGCACGTGGGTAGCAACACTGGCATGCATTTGTCATGGGACTGGGGTGGGTGGATTGGGCTGAGATCCAGGTGAGGGAAAGGGAAACGCCCACCTGCCGCGTGGCCCGCCCCCTCCAGTCAATCCTGTCCTTACCGAGGCCTCTTTGGTGTTGGTCTCCTCCGAGGCTGACTTGGCCACCTTCTGAATGATGGGGGCGATGTTGGTGGGGCCGTATAGCTGAAGCTTCGGCAGGCAGCTCTGATAAGCTTCCACAACGCCCTGAATCCCTGAGGCAGAAATGACAGAGACCAACTAGTCCCATGGTCCCTTAAATACCTTTATGATCCAACACACACAAACAGAAACCATTTGTTTTCTCTAAAGAGTTCTCAACAACGTCCTGGTAATATGCTCTGGTTTTTGTTTGTCTATTTTTGAGACTTAGGGCTGGTCTTTGTATGTATATATATGTATTTTTTTCTCTTTCTTTGTATTATTTTATTTTATTTTTTGTTGTCGGTCGTGGGTCCTGAACTCTGGGCTTGGGCGCTGTCCCTCAGCTCTTCAGCTCAAGGCGAGTGCTCTACCACTTGAGCCTCAGCGCCACTTCTGGTTTTCTGGTGGTTTATTGGAGATAGGAGTCTCACGGACTTTCCTGCCTGGCCTGGCTTTGAACTGGGATCCTTAGATCTCAGCCTCCTGAGTAGCTAGGATGACAGGTGTGAGCCACTGGCGCCTGGCTGATGTGCTCAATTTTACATTCCCCCGAGAGAGCTTGGAGCAAGGTTGAGCACTCAGTCAACGCCAGTCCAGGCAGACCCTGCCTGCAACAGCTTCTCCGGATGTGATGCGCATTGACCGGCATCCATCCTGCTGACACCCTCTTCCCAAGGGAAGGGTACTGTACAGGATGACTTTTTATGCAAATTGCTCCAGTGATATTCAAATGTATGCAAATCACACCGGTACCTGCCTCACCCCCCACCCCCAACAGCAGCGCCTCCCATTCTATCCTGAAACTGGATCCTTGCTCCTGATTCTGGCCATGGAGATTCACAGGAGACACCCTGGAAAATTCATCTCCAGGGCTACCATGCATCACTAGAAGATCCTTATCTGTTTTTTTTTGGGGGGGGGTGGTGGCGGGTAGAGGGGTTTCTCAAGTTTTTGCTGAAGACAATCAAGTTTGGTAATCTTTTTCCAGAAAAAAAAAAAAAGAGCCAGACGGCCAGCTTCTACAAGTGTGTAAATGATAAGCTCTGGGTTGAGTGTTACATTCTGTGTGGGGGCCGATCCCTTCTGTGTGTGGGGGTGAAGGGGGGGAGGGGAGGCTGGCTTCAAACAATCATCCCCAGATCTCAGCTTCCTGAGTAGCTAGGATGACAGCCATTCATTAACCACTCTTTTAAGAATTGGGTGGGCTGGCGGGCTGGGAAGGTGGCTCAGTGGTAGAGCGCTTGCCTTGCATGCTCGAGGCCCTGCGTTCGATTCCTCAGCACCACATAAGCAAAAAGAAAAATGC